GAACCCTGGAAAAACCCAGCAAGATTGCTACTATTTCAAAAGGATTGATGAATCCAGAGAGGAGGAAAGGAAGGCGACCTTCATGTTTGCATCATCCACTCCACACACGACGGTCCACGGTCAAACATGGCACGCCGGCCGGCTGTTCGCCGGCCGGCGACGATCCACCGGCGGCGATCGATCAGTAGCACCGGTAGACGACGTAGTTGTTCCGGCGCGGCTGCGGCCGGTGGCAGATCATGAAGAGCACCAGCGCGATCATCAGGGCCAGCAAGAACCCTTTCGGGTCCAGACCGCCGTCGCCGCCGCCGCTGCCGCCGTCGTCGTCGTTGCACCCCATGCAGCAGCAGGACCCCATGGTTGGTGCTCCCCGGAGACGGAGAAGAAGAAGAAGAGCCCAAGTCTAATTTGCTTCCGATGAATCTTTTGATTTGAGTGTACGGCGTCTTGCTTCGCCTGCGGAGAAAGGAGAGGCGAAATGGTGGCTGTGGCTTTGCTTAGGAGACCAACAAAAAGGAGAAGAGTATATGCAGTTTTTTTTTCTTTTTTCTTGCTTTGAGATTGAGAATTTTTTTGTTTGTTTATTACTAGGGGTCCAGGATCGATCAAGATGCCGGTGGGGCAGAGACGGCATTGACCGTGTCAAAGATGGGACCCACATGTCAGGAGGTGTGCTACAGACTACTAGAGGATAGAGAGGTCATAAAAAATTCTTTCTAAAATCCTCGTTGCAATGGTAGAATTTTCTCCCTCTTGTTTTTTTTTCATAGCTTCCATAGGTTAGTAGTAGTTGTGTTGTCGTTTTCAGTTAGTGGTAATTGGAATTCCATGTGAAGATGATGGGTATGGCTTTGGCCCCAACTTCACAGATGACTCTGTTCAAAGTACTAGTCAGTTGACACTTGCTGCGTTTCGTATATCTAGCGGTAGGAGTTTGACCGAAATAGTGAATTAGTCAAAAGAATTTTGTGCATGTGAATATAGCATTAAACCAGTTCTAAGAAACCGCAATATTTGATTGTTTTATAGCCGTTTGATTTTCTTGCTAATGGGTAGGTTTCCAGTTTCTAGTTGATGCGACCAAGTTGCAGTTGAGATATCATAATTTTGTTGTATGACATAGGCTGTGGACCAAATGCTGAAAACCAATCCTTCGGTCCCTACAACCATTGCGACTAAGAAGTCTGATAACAACAGTATTAGAACTATAAAATAAACCTGCAGCATATATAGAGTATTTGAAGATTATTGGCCAAAAAAGTGGCTTATCAAATTTTGGTAAAGTTACCAAAAAAGTGGCTACATTTAATCTGCTACCAAATTCTGGTAATTATATAAGAAATCATGTCAAAAGTTTGGTAAGTTATCAAAATTTGGTAAGGTTTTTTTTGCATTAAAGTGAACAGGCCCTATGATATACGCGGAATATGAAAGGAAACCAAGTTTTCATAACAAATGTGGTTACAAAGAGACAAATAGATGTTGGACGGACCAGAACGAGGCCAACATGACACGGGTGGAAATATTTCTCTGGCCGAAACCATTGTACAACGGTCAGACTTAGAACGCTAACTGATATAAGCACATAGCAGAACAAGATATACAGTATTTACGTCTTTTAAAAAAAACGCAATGGAAACAAAACAAAATAACTGGTTCACAACGTGTTGCTGTTCATTTAGAGTTGAAGATTTTTGCAAGCATACACAAGCATGTCAACTGTCAAGACCAAGGAATTCTGTGAAGCTTGGATACTTGGGCTCCCAACCAATCTCAGAACGAGTTCTCGAATTCTCCATCTTCTTACCCAGTGGACCATCTGTACCTGCAGTTAAGGCAGAATGAAGATTATGCAATAGATGCGAATGCCTGTGGAGTAAAATATAAGCATAAATGAACATGTAGAATACTAACCAGTAAAACCTTGGAACTTCGTGTCAAATTTTCCACTTCTGTTAACAGAGTCCATTATTTCTTGCCTGAAAAGTTGAAGTAAATTTTGTTTCAGTTGACAGACCCGTTCAGCTATTAGTGCAGTCATGATACACAGCTAAGTGGACGTAGGAAACAAATAATTAGTCAAAACAAGTAGCCTAGCACTGACCTGGAAAGAGGCTTATTGTCACAGCCCAAAAAGATTCGACCCCTGTGTCCCTTTTTCATTATGGCAATTGCAAGGGAAGCAGCATCCTGCAAATAATTACCACAAAGAATTACACCAATACTAACAGCTAATTAAACAGCCATCATAGCCACCCCATGCAATGAACATGAAAAAGCCCATGGGGAAACACGATGATATAAAGACCCCGTATGGCACAGCTCCAGCTCCCGCTCCTACTTACCTAGAGCTAGAGCTGTGCCAAAGTACAGATTCTCTATTTTTTGGAGCAGAGTTGGCAAGGCTGCTCCACAAATTTGTAATACGGGGGTGGAGCTGGGTTTTTGCTGCTCCACAGCTCCACTCCACCCCAAAAGACCCACTACCCTTTAATTTTTTTTGATGTATTACCAAAAAAATGCCACTAAACTACCCCTAAACTCCTCCTCACATTCTCTCTCCTCCCATCCTCCCATCATCTCTAGCGAGATCCGGCGGCAACCGGCAGCGGGCAGGCTGGCGGAGGCGGCGCACGGCCTCGATGGCGGCACGCGGGCTAGCGGCAGCACGCGGCCTCGGCGGCGGCGCGAGGGCTGGCCGACAGCGCGGGGGCTGGGTGCCGGGCGATGGCGCGCGGGCTGGTGGCGTCGACGGCGGTGGACACGAGCGGCGGGCAGCAGCAGCATGGGCTGGGTGGTGGCAGCGCACGGGGTGACCAGTGGCGGTGCCGGCGGCGGGCGTCGGCGGTGGTGGTGCACAAGCTGACGGTGGGGCGACGCTAACCAAGTGTTCGACGAAATGACTACAGGGGACGTGGTGGTGTGAAGCTAACAAGTCTAGCCAAACACTTTCACAACCACCTTAGCTCCTATAGGAGCTAGCTCCCACTGGAGTTGGAGTTTGGAGCTCTACCAAACGGGGCCAAAGAAGACAATTGGTCAAACAGATCCCTAGGCCCTTTAGATATGCCATAAACATCAGACCTTCGAATTTTGAAATTTTATCTCTCCCAAAACAAGTGCAAAACTGTTGTTTCCTGCAGAGAAATATTGCTTACAGTTTTGCGTCATTCCAGTTTTTTCTTAAAAAAAGAAAAGAAAACTGCTATTGAAAAGATAACAAGTTGTGTCTTTAATTCAATGACCATGGGCTGGAAACTGTTTGTAAAAATACATTTTGTTATTTTTCACGTTAACCCAAATGCTCAATAGATATTTCTAACTAAATTATATTGGACATATTGACTCTTTTGCTTGAAATATAGCTGAAATGCCACACCAGCTCTGTTGTTTTGCTCCCTAGAATAAACTAACCTTCCTCCAAGTCACGTGCAATCTAAAAAATGGACTATCAATATCACGATGTTCCCATTTTTTTTATTAATGTGGGATAATGATTATTTCTGATTAATGTAGGACTCTTTGCCTAGCTTGTTTCTAGGACCAAGCAAGTGACTCTTGGGAGATATCCAATTACTATATACTCCCTCCGTTTCTTGACACCGTTGAATTTTTAGCACATATTTGACCGTTCGTCTTATTCAAAAACTTTTGTGAAATATGTAAAACTATATGTATACATAAAAGCATATTTAACAATGAATCAAATGATAGGAAAAGAATTAATAATTACTTAAATTTTTTGAATAAGACGAACAGTCAAACATATTTAAAAAAGTCAACGGCGTCAAATATTTAGAAATGGAGGGAGTATAATCTAAAATGTTATGTGAGAACAGTATTTCTTTTCTTCGATATTTTGGGTAGTTTACAGCTATTTGTATTAGGATAATGTAGTGATAACTACATATTTAGGAGTATATATAAGGTCATGGAAACCCCTCATGAGTTCATAAAACCAGAGATCGAAATATACAATAGAAAGCAACCAAAACATAAGATACAGAATAGTAGGTTGAAAAGTTCTTTCCTAGATTACAATAATAAGATATATTGCAACTTAATTTAGACTGTCGAATGTATCTCAACGCACTATAAATTATAAAATGGAATTGCATATGCTTTTATACAATCAAACAAGTTAGATCTAAATTATAAAAAGTACCAACTATGTATGGTAAGTAAACCCAAGTTCCACAGTTGTGATCACAATGCAAATGATACGACAGATAAAGAAAGAACAGCATAACAAGACATATAACTGAGATAAACTTGCAGCTCATTACCTCATAATGAATTTGATTGATAATATGATCTGGTCGTGTGTCCAAAGTTCCTTTCCTCAACCAAAAAAAATGAGCACCTCTATCTATTTTGTGTGTCCAAGTCAAGGAAACGTTGTATCAGTTCTCTTCATACCAATGTAAAAGAACTTGCGTTAATATTGCTTGCACTTTAGAACAACAAATAGTCATCAATTGAGGATATATAGAGTCCTGCTAGCCTGAGGACACAGCCTCCTGCCTCAAGAACAACATTCTCTGCTTTTAGAAGGACGTCAGTACGAGGGCTTCTGCCAATTGGCACAGATGGGCAATCCTACATAATGGGAGGAATAATTATGGTTAAAACAAAAACAATAAAGTTTTTCAACCGTCAAGAAAAAATATTTAGAGTTGCATAATATGGCTTGTGGATACATTGTTTTTTTTTTAATGTCACTAGAACTTCTATAAATGAAAAGAGCCAAAAAGAAAAGTATGGAAGACTTCACAGCTACAATCTGCAGGCTTGTGGGGATACCTCATTGCACAATTCGTTGTCACTACAATCGTACAGAGCAGTACTTGATGTAAAAACGAAAGAGCCTTCACCAGTCCAATTTGAGGCAGCTACTCTGCACGCATTTTCTGAAATAAGAATACATCACATGTCCATGTATGCGTTTCGATTAGTGCAAGATAGATGAATGGTTCATATCATTGGAATGGAACTATTACAACAATGATTCAATAATATTTTGTTCTGGAATGGTTCTTTTTTTCTTGAATACGCAAGAGAGTTGCGTATCATGGTTCTGGCCTTCAAGGAAAAGAATTCAAACCCCTCCTCTCAAAAAAGAAACTTACACCCACAAGCAAATGTTGCCAGAGGCATATTCATTAGCAAAATACCACTATACACTATAAACACAAATTTGGATAGTTTATGTGTTAAAAAGAAAATAAATGTTTAGGAGTAACCAATGGACCTTAGCCATTAGGAACTCACATGATACCAGAAGGTAGGATGATACTGTTAACAGTAATATAATCATGGATTCATCATTATAATCGTACTCATTTACCTCACATCCCCAGGGTAATCATCCGAACGAGATGGGGGAGCACAGAAAATAACATATGGAACCTTCTGAGGAAAAGTGGATCCCTTCAAGGAGGGAATGATGCCAATATTCGACAATTCGTTGTGGTGATCTGTGCTTGCGGTCTGGCCAAAAACTTTGCATCCTGGATGTTCCTACAGAGTACGGACAGTGTACATTATTATTGTACTCAATTAAACGAATTAACAGTGCGGCATCATTTTTTTATGTTAATCAGAAGATTAAATATTAAAAATCCTAGTATTACAGAAGCAACAAAAGTAGATACGCCATTTTGAACCAAAAAAAATATTATGCTCCACACGATGAAAGAGGAATATGGTTTTCGAAGTTTAAACCAATAGGAGACACAAGGTAAATAACTGAGATAGAGTATAACAATCGGGCAATCTGATAATAATACCTCCTGCCATTTCTCAGCTACCAGTCGACCAAGCACTCCAGGGCCAACAATCAGCAAATCGTTCTTGCCAACAATGTCGGAGCCAGCCATCTTGACCCCTGTATCATCAGACACCCCTGGATTGGAAGTACCAAAACCCAAGTAACAAAGAGTCATCAAATTGCAAGCCCATCTCGTTCCCATGCACCCTCACCCTCACCATGGTACATGGTACCGCAAACATAGGAGAACAAGATAATCCGAGGTGGAGAGAGAAAGAGAGAGATGTGGTTACCGAGAACCGCGGCGGCGGGGCGAGGGCGAGGGCGGCGCGAGAGGAGGAGGAGGCGAGGTGCGCGGGCAGCTGCGGTGGAGAGGTTGACGGAGAAGGGGGCGGTGGTGGTGGAGACGGGTCGAGGTCGAGAGGTCGGTGTTGGGGTGGCAAGCAGGCTGGAGACGGCGGCGCCGCCCATCGCGCGGCGGGCGGTGGTCGCCGGGAGGAAGCAGGGACGGAGGTGAGGGGATCGGATCAGGCAAACGGAGGAGAGTGGATTGGAGCAGAGACAGAAATGAAGGCCCGGCTTGCACAGTTGAGTGGGCCAAGAGCCCAACACTGGCCAGGACCTGATAATAAGATTACTAGGACTACTTAGCCCTATCTGAGAATCCGCTGGTTGGCAACCAGCTTCTAAGAATATGGAGAAGCTACTAAACCCAGCTTTATTTTCTGAATTCTACACCCACAAATTCTCATAATATAAGTGACAATCTGGACCGTTGAGGTGGTAGATTCTGGGATAAGTTGTAGCTTCTATAAACTTCCCCAAACAGGCCCTTAGTTTGGTGAGACCAAGCGTTTGTTCATGTGGTTAGTGTCACCGGTGGGCATGCTGCCCGCGAGCGTCGAACGATACGCTTGTGCTCACCCGAGGGTTTTTTTTTCCCTCTTTCCCTGGACACACTTCGGTTGGTCCCAGTAGGTATATGGGTACACATACCGACATACGTGTGCACGTTGTACTGCACGTTTCCCGTGCACTGATGCTACAATCCTAGCATGTGTTAGGGACGTGCATGTGTAAGTGTGGTGTGTGTTTGTGTGCGTCCTGGATTGTACTCTCTCAAAAAAATAATTAGTTTAGTAACTTCGATTTTATGGTTTTGGGTTTGTTCACTTTGATGACAAAATTAACCATTCAATTTTTTTTATTTTGGTAGGATAGAAGTGTGTGGCTGTTGTTTGCTGTATTTAGATATGGTAGAGGATTTGAGATGTATTTAGATTGTTACCTTGCTAATCTGACTCAGCTTATTGCGTTTTCCTAATGACCAAGCTGTTGTTTCAGCTCAATAGCGAGCTTAACAAGGAGTGCATATGACAACTATCAACATTTCAACAACCCATGGGCAAACTTGCCAGCTCAAATACAACACTCCGATCTTCAATTACACATGAAGCACTCCAAAACAACAAAGCCTAGTCAGACACCCAATGATCCAAATACCTAATCGCGATCATATTATCCTCCCAGTCTCCCTCATCCCTCAAACGCTATTCTCCATGAAGACAGAGAACATAACCCTAGCCATTGGCCATATTGCGCCTCCAGCTCATGCTCGTTCTCGTGCACCCTCTATCTCGTGTCACCGTCGTCCATCCGGCTCCCAGGTCCTAGGCTTGCAAGTCCTTCACGATAGTGCATCCTAACGCCCTCATGGCCGCACAACCTTATCCTAACCCACCCGTCGCTGTTAATATCGGTGAGGTCGCGCCCAATGCCTCATGCATAGGCGACATCATATCCTTGTTTACCATGGAGGAGGAATGTGTTGGCTCGCGAGCTAAACAAGCTAGCTAGCTCGAATTGCCAGTGGAGCTAAGCCGAGCCAAACAGAAAATCTAACTCGTTATCTTAACGAGTCAGGCCAGCTTGATATCTTAGTTACAGTAGGTCTTACGATTTGTTGCAAGGACATGTCAGTCCAAATCTATGACATAAAATATTTGTCTACATTATTTATGTGGTTTATGTCCCCAGTATAATTTATTTTCATATTAAACCAAAGATGCTTTTAGTATGAGTTTGTAAGAAAAACTATTACACGGAGCCGCTAAGCATGCACATCATACTCACGTTCCTAAATGTGCCTTCTAACGCACGTTTAAATAAATGGAGGCCACTAAATTCTTAGCATCACTAAGTTTCTTCCTCATTTTGCGGGAAGATTACCATCCTACCTTATTTAAGAGAAAATCCATGAAATGCCATTGACAAGCACTCTAATCCCAGAAATGCCATTGACAAACGCAACTTCCTCAAAATGCCATCGTACAAGCGTTTTTCTCCCTAAAATGCCATCACAGCCATAGTGCTGTTAACTCCTCTCCGTTAAGTTGTATGAAAAGACATTCTTACCCCTGGGCAACCTTTGTGCTAAAACAACATTATTTTGTATTGTTTGCTCACAGAACATTATTTTGAATTGATGCATATTTAAATTCACAGACGTGTATTATTTTGCTATCAATCAAATTATTTCAAAATTAAATTCATAAATTTTGGCATCAAAATTATTTCAGAAATTTTGCTATCAATTATCAGGGTTGTGATATGAGCAAAAATAGGGGCATCAATTATCAGGGCAACACACACAGAAAGTACCAATCATGATCAACATGAATTTTCACAAAATAAAGGGTTCACAATACTTAGCATCACAACCCAATATCACAGAAAGTACCAATCATGATCAACATGAATTTTCACAAAATAAAGGGTTCACAATACTTAGCATCACAACCCAATATAAAGAGTACTTAGCATCACAACCCAATATAAAGGGTTCACAGTACTTAGCATCACAACCCAATACAAGAGTACTTTGCATGCATGCTTAATACATCTTAGTTCAGACAATACATGTGACAGTAAGAAACTCAATCAATTATTCTCCTCTTGCTTCTAGTCCCCATTGCTGGACTACTCTTCTTGCTTCTAGTTCTCGTTGCTGGACTGTCCTGTGGTACTTCATTATTCTTCCTCCTTTTGGCAGGTGGAGTAGTAGGTTGTACTGTTGGGGATGGTTTTCTCTTGATTTTCTTGTCTTTGTCCTCCTTTTCACCCTTCTTCCCCTTCCCCTTCCCCTTCCCCTTCCCCTTCCCCTTCTCCTTCTCCTTCTCCTTCCCCTTGGCAACAGGTGCAGCAACTTGTTGTAGTGGCACAATGGTCATAGAGCTGAAAAAAAAGTTATTTAGCAATCAATTTAAGTTGGCATTAATCAAGTGCAATGGGTACAGTAAAAAACATAATTGGTTACCTTGGTAAGGATGGGAAAGGCTCATTATTAGACTCAAGTCCAGAATCACTAATTGTCCCAACAACGGCACTTTAAAATCATATATTACACATTAGTTAAGTTGCTGCAGCCTAGGAGCAATAAAAGGTTAACAAAGTGGAAAGTGGAAGATAGAAATTTCACCTTGATAGGCTACCCAAGATTTGACTTGACATAGCAGTAGGATCAATGTTTTCAGTGGCAACAGTGGCAGCAGAAGTAGATTTTGGTTTTGATTTCCTTTTCAGTTTTCTACAGGAAAATGAAAATAAGTGAAGTTTGTTGGCAAAGGAAATCAACATGAAGATATGGATATAGAAATCACCTTTGTTTTGCCACTAAAGCATAGGCCTCTTTGGCTTCTGGATCTGCTTCTTTGCAACTTGTCCATCTATGGCCATAATTTTTGCAGATAGGACACTTTTGCTGACATTTGGTACCTGCTTTTCTCTTGCCCTTCTTATTCCCCTCAACCCCACCTTTGTGCCTTAAAGTTTTGGGCCTCCCTGCAGATCTCTTCAATATTGGAGGATAAAGAAAGAAATCACGTGTATTCTTTGGCCACTGGGAAATGTCAGTTAGAGCTGGAATGCGGGCTGCATATGTGGCTTTAAATCTGGCCACACTATAGCATTCATCAACATAATCATGCACCTGCACCCCCCTAATAGATGTGATGAAGCACAAGGCATGAGCACAAGGCTTTCCAGACACTTGCCACTCTCTACATGTACATGTCTTCTCTTCAAGATCAACTACATGCCTCTTACCACCTTTTGTGAAAAATGCAATAATAAGATTATGTCCATCAACATTAATAATGGGAATTGCAGGTATAAAAATTCAATACGACATACAACATAACATTACCTGGGTCTTTATCAGTAACCTCGGCAATGAAATCATCACTTCTATCTAGGTCAAAGTTTAGTCCTCTACTTTTCTCAAGAAGCTCCTTCATGACACAAGGTAGAATGATATTACCTTCCAATTTGGCTGCCACCTTCTTCCTCACACGAAATTTATCCATCACCTTTTTTCTAATCTTATCAACCAATTCGTATGGCATAAGACCTTTATGTTTTCTGATCCAATTGTTGAAGCACTCCGCTAAATTGTTGGTGATGTAATCAACCTTAGAGTGCGTGGAGAACTCGCTTCGCATCCATAACCTACAAAATAAGCAAAGACAAAATATTACATTCAGCTTCAGTTCACGTACTGAAAAAACAAGTATTCGACTAAAAAAGATACCTTTTGTGGTGGGTTTTCAAGTATGCTATAGCTTCAGACTTTACTTCACCTATTGAAGCCATATGTTCATCGAATTCTGTAGGAGTCCATGCATATGCTGCTGGCCATAAATGTTCCTCAAAAACTTTGCCATGGAACTTGAGCTTGAAATTGGACACAAGGTGTCGCATGCATTCCCTATGCTCTGCATAACCAAATACCTCTTCAATAGCATAGTCAATGCCTTTTCCTGCATCTGAACAAATTGATAGTCCAGCTGGTTCACCAATAGCTTCATGCAGTTTCTCCATGAACCAAAGCCATGTCTCACTAGTCTCCGAGTCAATAATACCATAGGCTACTGGGTACAGCCAATTGTGTCCATCAATAGCACATGCAGTTGCTAGCTGACCTCTATACTTTCCTGTCAAGTGTGTACTGTCAATTGCTAAGTATGGCCTACAACCTCCTAAAAAACCTTGAATGCAAGGGTGTAGTGCCACAAATAGCCTTGTGAATCTCTTCTTGTCCTTGAATGTCATATGGTCAATGGCGACTATACTTCCTGGGGACCTCTTCTCGATCTCTGCCTTCCAACCATATAGCTTGTCAAAGCTACTATCCCAGTCACCATACAATTTACTCATTGCTAATTCCCTCCCAGAATGTACTCTCTTGTAGGGGATGGTTACCTTATGTGTGTCCTTAATCCTCCTTCGCAGTTCCATGGCCCCAACACTAGCATCCTCACGTAGCCACCCCATAACCTTATCACAAACCCACGCTCTCTTTGCATTCCTGACCTTCTCGCTTTTTCTAGTACTAAGACAACCATGGTACATCTCATGGACCTTAATCTGAAAAAGAAAAAAGATGCAATTAGATAAGAAAATAACAAAATATGCAATGTAACACATTAATGTAACACATACCTGCACTGCTGGACCACCATGAATAGTTGATGCATGAAGCCTCCATCCACATCCTTCTTTGATACATCTAGCTCTGAATCTACTAGGATCAGTTTTTTTAACAAAAAACTCGAATTCTTTCTTAATGGAATATTGAGCCACAGCCAATCTAAACTCACACATTGAAGGATAAATAGTCTCAACAGTCATGGGTGGGTTCTCTTTGTCATATGCAACTTGTGGGATTACTGGATCTGCCTGAGCATCTCGTGCAATCCACTCTTCATCATCACTATCAGTGATACTCAGATCATCTCCCCCTTCTACCTCAGGCACATTATCAGTTTCAGCAATAGAGTCATCACTCTCAGATGAAGAGTCATCACTCTCCGATGAAGAGTCATCAATACCAACTGAGTATTGTTTCTCATCATCTACACCTACATGCTCATAGTGCGGGAATGGATTTTCTAGGTATGCATCACTTTTGGATGCCTGACTAGTGCTGCCTTCCTGAGTAAAAAATGCCTGAGAGGGGACTGAAAGTGATGGAGTGCAAGGCACAATAGCTTGGGACAGATTAATTTGGTTTCCCAGAGTGATTACCACTTTACCCCTTTTAGTATGATGAAAGCACTCAAACATTGCTGTCAAGTCCTGATCTTTGCATATTGGAATGAGTTCTTTGCTACTAGCATGAATATAATGCAAACATACAGTTTCATTTAAAGCCCATGGATATTTTTCACAAATATCACCCAGAAAATCTTTGAAGTTAGTTACGTCTGCATCAATAGGCCATTTGAAAGAAAAACCACCCGGAAATTCAGGCCTACATGTCTTGCCCATTATTCTCACGTCAAGTAAATAAGTAGAAGATGGGTCCATTCTGTTGATGAACACATCGTCGATGTGTGAGAAGAAAAATGTGAAAAATGTAACTGCTCTGACTCCCTAATACAAGTATATTACTCATAGGGCATAAGATGAAAGACATACCCATCCGGAATCCAAGATGAATCCATCCCCTCATGTTCATGCTCCCCTTCACTGTGCTCCAATCCATCTATAATTCCACCACAATATCTCATTCACATCATGTAGTACAAATTCTTCAAATGAAACCAAACAAAAGAAGGAAAATGGAACCACCTGAGAGGGATGTGCCACCTGCTGGGACTATTATGCCGCTGCCAGTGACCTCCTCGCCGGCCCCTGTGACCACCGTACCGGCGCATGCAGCCCCCGCACCACCCCTTGTGCCGCCGCTTGCCACCTCCTCGCCTCCCGTCGCCTGAGAGACTACCGCCGACGCGCCGACGCCTGGAGCCGCCGCGCCGTCACCTGGAAGCACCACATCGCAGTCGAGGGCCGCCACACCGCCGACTGGGAGCCCCGCGCCGCCTGGGGCCGCCGTGCCGTCGCCTGGAGCCGACGTGCCGCCGCCGGGGAGCCCTGCGCCGTTGCTGGGGGCCGCCAGGCCTGCGCCGTTGCTGGGGGCCGCCGGGCCTGCGCCTGAGGGCCGCGCGCCGTCGCCGGGGGCCGACGCGCCGCCGCCGGGGGCCGACGCGCCGCCGCCGGGGGCCGCCGCGCCTGAGTGCCGCGGGAGCGCCGCCTCGCTGCCGCCGCCGGGGATCCCTGCGCCGCCTCCCGGGAGCGCCACCGCGCCGTCGCCCGCGCGGCCCGGGAGCGCCGCCTCGCTGCCGCCGCGGGGGATCCCTGCGCCGCCTCCCGGGAGCGCCACCGCGCCGTCGCCCGCGCGGCCCGGGAGCGCCGCCTCGCTGCCGCCGCGGGGGATCCCTGCGCCGCCGCCCGGGAGCGCCACCGCGCTGTCGCCCGCGCGGCCCGGGAGCGCCGCCTCGCTGCCGCCGCGGGGGATCCCTGCGCCGCCGCCCGGGAGCACCACCGCGCCGTCGCCCGCACGGCCCGGGAGCGCCGCCTCGTCGCCGCCCGCGAGCGCCACCGCGCCGTCGCCTGGGGGCGCCGCATCGCCGCCGCCGTCGCCCCCCATCGGTTAGGGTTAGGGTTCCCTCTTTTTTTTCCCCAATTTCTTTTCTTTTACCGCCTGTAGACAGTATAATCTGGAGCGAGGGTAATCTAGTCATTCTGGTAAAAATTAAAATTCTAACGGCGTGGACTAAACGGTAAGTTTACTGTGATGGCATTTTAGGGAGAAAAACGCTTGTACGATGGCATTTTGAGGAAGTTGCGTTTGTCAATGGCATTTCTGGGATTAGAGTGCTTGTCAATGGCATTTCATGGATTGTGTCCTTATTTAATGTTGCATCGCATGTTATCTGTTTGTTGTAGCTCGTATTCTTTCTACACGTAGGTTGTGTTAGGGAGGTGGAGACTTCATCTCCCTGCACGGAAACATGGTGGTTTATTAATATATAATTAATTAATTATTAGCTAAAATAACTTGAAAAATAGATTAGTATGATTTTTTAAAAGCAACTTAGAAAAAAAATTTTAAAAACATACCATTTAATAGTTTGAAAAGCGCGTGAAAAACGATGGTGGTGAGTTAAAAAGTGAACAAAAAGAACTCAGCCGTAGGAGCCTTGCCGAGATAGGTCATGGCCTGATGGGCCCAGGAGTAAGACGTAGGACCATCGGAGATACAAGGGTTGACAGCTCCATGTTTCATGAGTAGTTCGTGTCGTCATTACCAAATTTTGATGTCGTCAAAAAGTCTGGTTCGATAGCAAACCAAGAACTTGTAAAATTGTACCCTACTAAAATATTTGACAGCTCTTTTAAAATGTAAGATTCTAAAAATGTCGAATCATATTCTACGGAAGCAAGTATATAAGTTTGTTATAAGCAGTAGAAAATGAACTGAGTAATAAAAAATAAAGGACTATCTATATTTATATTGTCATATTTTTCATGAAAAATAATTAGTGTGTAATTCCTAAATTATATATGTAATTTTAATGTATTTATAATGTAAGCTTCAAATTGCATATGCAATATGTAATTTTAGTGTATTTATAATGTAAGCTTCAAATTACATATGCAATTAGTATTAGTATGTAAGTCTTCTTATGTAAATAAATACATAAAAACACATGTAATTTAGTGGGAGAGGCGTGTGCATGTGATGTGAGTGATACGGATCAAATCCACGTGCAAAATCTAATAAATTTACACTAAGAGCAACGAGAAACTGCATACAGCAGCTAGCAAGAAAAAAAAATCCAGTACAAAATCACTGATCTCCAAGCAAATCAATCACACGCATGATCACCGATCTCCACGCAAAATCATAGGCTGAAAATTCGACAGTTTTTGGCGAAAAAAGAATGTCGACACATATATAGCAAAACAAAAATAAATAAGCTAAGCCTTTTATATTTGAATTATTCGTAGTTTAATCGACAAAGGCTTTATGATAAAAACTCAAAACCAATCCTTTAAAATTAAGTTTCAAAATTTAAATTTTAGCTATAGCGGATAACAAGCAAATGATGTGTGAGAGACATAGAGTGCATTAGACTTCTCAAAAAATAAAAAACAAGAGGTATGAGTTTCGCTTGTTTTCTTATGGAATATAGGTATATGAAGTCAATCCATAAGAATTTTGGCATCATATTATTTTATTTCTAAGTGTCTCATAAGAAACATTTTCCAAGGGTTTGATCCATTATGTAATTTTGCATAAAACACACCGATATTTTAATTCTACACGACCAAAAAAAACTTGGTAGCGGCGAAACTAAACCAATCTTTTCCATCAGAAATAAAACTAAATCAAATTTTAGCGTAATAAAACTAAACCCAAAGTTGAAATGTCGTTGAAAACATGCGTCTAAGGCAATGAACAGATCACGTACCGGCACCTGCCAAGCCATTTCAACACTACTACCCAAACAACCAGGATGCGTTCAGGTCCCAGGTCTCAGGTGGCCAAGTAGCCAACGATGCCATGCCAGAAGAGAGCCCAGCAATTTTTTTCGTAGTGACAGACAATAGACGCTAGCAGCGAAGCTAAAAGGTTGTCGAGCATAGATAGTTTTGAATTTAATGGAAGGTAACATACAGGATAACATAACGAGCAAAAAGAAAATACAAGTTGGCTATATCCATTATCAAGCACGGAGTAACTAGAATCCAAAACCACAAACTACAGTGAAGAAAGAAAGATGCCATCTTTTACCTCGCAAAGGTGCAAATATAAACATGATGATTGGAACCTACATTGCTATAAATTATTGGAAGGTCAACTAGACGGTTTAGTATCAGAGCCTCACAGATCTGAATTCCATTCATGCCCCTTAATGCAGTGGAGCTTAACCACTTGGCCAGGTCAGCTGGTGACCATGAGGAAGAGGATGAACGCCTCGTGCATATCTGGCAGGGCATAACATCTTGTGCGCAGAGGTTGCAGACATTAAAAGGTATTAATTCCCTCTTATCAGCAGCAGGGCCCTGAAACAAGCTAAGGTGTGACATAACATCTTATTCGTTGTAATTGTCAGCAAGGTAGCCATAGGAAGTGCATTATGACTCTTACTCCTAATATACCATCAATAGCTGGTGAGTTTGCCATATTTAATGATAATTTATGTTATAGTCAATAGGAAATCTTTGGTGCAATAAAAGCTGTGCAAGCTGAAGCAATGTTGTCGGCTCATGGTGTGCTGATCTCCAAGGTGTAAGATTCACCATGTAGGTGCCTTTGACTTCTCCACAAGAATGATCCTACCGTTCCACTCAGTCTCATCACAAGCACGAATCGCTGCATCAGCATCCTCATCCTTCTCCAAAGATAAGAAACCAAAGCCTCGAGAATCCCCAGATCTATAGAGAATATAAAATGAGTTTTAAGTAATATTTCATATTGCAAAATAATCAAATAAAGTGGAGTACAAATTAAAATGAGCTGCTTTCATATTGCTCACTAACTGGTTCTATCACATATCTGGAACATATCAACAGTAAGTACTCAAGAGAACTGCCCAGCAAAAAGTACTCAAGAGAAGCTTTTATCATAGTAGAAAGTAAAATCCACAGAAGCCTCATTAATGCTAGAAGAGTTCTCATGGTTAAACAGTAGAAAGGCATACTGTTCCAAAATTCAAAAATTGACTTCAATGTCACCATTGACTTTTGAACATTCTTTTGACCATTCGTCTTATTCAAACAAACTTGTGCAAATATGTAAAAATATAGGTCATGCTTAAAGTACCTTTAATGATAAAACAAATCACAACAAAGTAAATGGTAATTACTTAATTATTTGAATAAGATGAATGGTCAAACGTATGTTTAAAAGTCAACAGCCTGATACATCAAAAACTGGAGGGAGTAGTTAACTTGGCAGGATGAAATAGTTCTTTCATGCTGAGATACACAATAATCACGAAAGCAAAGCTTATGTATATGTTAGCCAAATTGCTCCCTCTGTTATAATTTCAAATTACATGAATATTGCATTCACACATATACTATCCTAAATACAGTAACATAAATATGATGCCATGAACCGTGTGTTTAACTGTTAAGCTATATATTCAGAAAAATAAATTTGCTCCCATTAAGCTTCAGGTTTAAATGTTAACCGGCTGAATATTAAGCAAATGTCAACCAGTTGAACAACAGACTCCTCTGAATACAACATGGACCGAACTAAAACTAGAGGAACATAATGTACAAAAACAAACAATTAAAAAAAACATGGCCATAGCTTCCCAACTCGCACAGTATTCTCCTAGCATAGCGCTATCCGACTATCCCTACTTGGCTTGAACAAGTTGCAAAAGAAAATTGATACGGAACAACATGCAGTTGTAGTTGCAACAGAGAAATGTATCATCCAGCAAGCTAATATGGAAGAGAAGTAATTTAATCTAACATTATGTCATTTGTCAAATATATATATTACCCCCACAAATTCGAAGTGTACGTCGATTTAGCATTCTCAACTCATTCCTAGATGCAAGCCATTTAGGAACTTCTAGCCACCTTTACATCTTTTATTTCCAGTTTGCCATTGCTAAACAAATGCTGCCCCTTCCGCAAATAAATTATTATCTTTTGCAATGCAGTACAAATGAAGCGCAACAAGGTCATTTAAGCTATTTTATTAAGTCTTGTGCACAAGTCTAAAATGATTTATATTTGGAACCAGAGGGGGTATAAGATTCAAATTTAAATTAAACAAGAACAATTACCCTCAAATTTAATACTTACAAACATCTACATATGTCCAAGGATGGAAAACATTTTCAAAAAGATCTTGCAAACACACGTCAACATATATCTACACACAAGATATTTTGTAGTTGGGGCATGGATTACCTTTAAAGAAAATAAAGATGCGCTGAAACCAAAATGTAGTGCCAAAAGATGTTTATATGCATTTGGGGTAAAAACAACTGAGGTATGAACTGCATCTGGAAGTAAATTACCTTTTATCCCGAACAACACGTGCACTTGTCACACGCCCATACTTAGAGAATTTCTTTTCCAAATCTCGCTCAGTGGTGGCATAACTAAAACCTGCAACAAACAGATTCCGTCCAGGCTTACCCAATCCAGTCTTCCTGTTGGCAGGTGGTGACCACGGCCTTCTAGGTGAATGATGACGATGACTGGAAGGAGATGATCTGCGCCGTGGTGAATGCCTTCTACAATGTCAAAACGAACAGAAGCATAAAGTAGCAGTGCATAGTTGAAATGAATATCCATGGAAGAAAAATAAGCCTATTGAAAGCTGCATCAGCAGACAAAATTACTACTAAACATACATGTCCTTTGAAAAGCTTGGTCTTGGAAGTTACTAATGTTAAGACAAAATTACCTTGGAGATCGCCTATGGTGACTCCTTGAGTGAGGAGACCTTGACCGAGATCTACCATGTTCCCTTCTATGTCTAGAGCCATCAGTTTTCCTCGAAGGTGACCTTGATTTTGACCTGTGCCTCCTTCGTGGGGAGTCCCTCCTCCTTGATGGGGAGTCCCTTCTTGGTGAGTCCCTTCTCCTTGATGGGGAGGACCTCCTTGGTGAGTCCCTTCTCCTTGATGGGGAGTCCCTCCTTGGTGAATCTCTTCTCCTTGATGGGGATGCCCTCCTTGGTGAGTCCCTTCTCCTTAATGGGGAGTCCCTCCTTGGTGAGTCCCTTCTCCTTGATGGGGAGTCCCTCCTTGGTGAGTCCCTTCTCCTTGATGGAGAGTCCTTCCTTGGTGAGTCTCTTCTCCTTGATGGGGAGTCCCTCCTTGGTGAGTCCCTTCTCCTTAATGGGGAGTCCTTCCTTGGTGAGTCTCTTCTCCTTGATGGGGAGTCCCTCCTTGGTGAGTCCCTTCTCCTTGATGGGGAGTCCCTCCTTGGTGAGTCCCTTCTCCTTGATGGAGAGTCTCTCCTTGGTGAGTCTCTCCTCTTGGGCAAAGCCCTTCTTCTAGGAGACACAGATCTTCGTCGCGGTGACCCATCTCCATGTCGATGCTCCCTTCGTGCTTTCTTTTCTGGAGGAGATGGAGAGTTCTGTCGACCATGCGGAGATAACTCACGTGAAGAAGCCCTTCTGCGGTTAGTCTCATGCTTTCCAGGAGACCGGGACCGACGTCTAACAGGTGAGTTTTGAGAAGTGGCTAATTTACCAACCTCATTTTCAGGACGTGGTGAATCCAGTTCCTTAGGTGAATGAGTACGAGGAGACCTTCCAACTGGAAGTGAGACCATCCTGTCTGGTGATGGTGTCCCTTTTTCCAATCTTGCAGAACTTTCAGGAGGAGAATCCCATTGATTGCTTGGTGTCAACATGCCATTTTTGGTACCAGGATTTTCATGCTCCATCACATCTAAATAAGATGGCTCAATCACAGAGTTGCAGTTGTCCTCATCATGTTCATCACAAGGACTGGAATTCCTACCATTCATTTGATCATCCTCTGCCTCATACTTTTCATCGTGAGAAGTCTCATGTAACGCTCTGGTGTCGACATCTTCCATCTCAAGCGCTGGAGAGTTTGGAATTTCATCATCATCAGCACCACTATTGTTAAGTTGGTAATCCCTACTGCCATTTTCATTTAGCATAGCATCGCCAAGATAGGTGTCAGATTGTGTGGTTTCTTCTTGAAAGTTCGATGTATCATTATTACCATTACTTTCATGAAGCTCTGTGGGCTGCGCAGCATCAGCCACTTCTGTTCTCCGATGTATGCCGTAACCCAGAGAAGTAGTCTGTGCTTCAGAGTAACTATCGTGAAGATTTTGTTCAGCTGCATCATTTTCCATATCAGAATCTATATGCACATGATGGTCATCTGCTTGCTTCAGGGGAGATGCTGGACTAGTTGAGGCAGACTTCATTGTATTGCATGGGATTTGATCATTCATGAAGGACGGAGAATCAGCAGCCAAATATGAAATTTGGTCAGTTGAATCAACTAAAAGCCCTTCATTTAGCTGTGGAGATACATGTTGTGGATCCCCGTGAAAACCCATGTGCTCTAACAAGCTCCCATCATGATCTCCAAATAAAGGTCCGGGATCTCCACAAGCCCCTTCCAGACTTCTATCAGGGGATATGTAATCCATCTGAATAGTAAGAGATAAAAATAGTATAAGAGCAGGTAATAAATAAAAACTAATAGCACATGATAGAACAGAGTAATAGGTAATCTGTTTCCACAATATACAGCTTAGACACTGATAAAACCATAATTAGCAAGACAAGATAGTAGATGATAAAAAAGTTAAGACTTATGCAGAATAACCTCATATCTACAAAGATAACCAAACTAAGGATTGCTTTCCGAGTTTCTCTTGAAAAAAAATGAAAATAAGAAATAACAACTCAAGTAATGACAACATTACATTACACTATCAATAAAGGAGAGTGGTCAAGTCACTGAACCATTAGAAAGTGTTGCGCAGGAAACATCAACAGAATATCAGTTGGATATGCTTGTGTTATCAATTCCATAAGACACTCCCTGAAATCTACTGCCTCGAAAGGAAGTTTTCTTTCAGCTCCAGGAACACAGACTTGTGACTTGCATTAAATTAGAAGAAAAGGGCAGGACTTAAATGAAATACTAAAAAGGATGGTGGTCAGACCCAGCCTTTTGGGTGCATCATAAAGCATTGGAGGAAACATCAACAACAACTAAGTAAACCATGTGGTAAAATTACATCCAAGATATGTGCCTAATACAAACAAGTGAGCCTATTGTATTTTCAGGAAAATTTGCTAACTGAGTGAAAACAGCAAAACAGAAAAACCATGGATCGCTCTGGCAGTGTCCATCACATTGATCATGCTAGAGGATGCATCATGTGATTAAGTTGAGTAGAGAGCTGGTATTGGATGTACAGCCATAGGTTGTATGTTAAATTTAGATATCTAATATACCCTTTGTTTTTTTTTCTTTTGTTTAGTTTTAGCCCTTTGTTTTTTTCTTGTTTAGTTTTAGTTTTTTATTTAGTTGCTAAGGCTGCATGCAACAATACACGATCCAAATGTTGGTACATTTGCCTATGTGAATAGTCAATTTATAAACAGTTTGAATACACTTAATCCAAAGCGACATGCATCCTTAGCCCTTACACATGAAGTTGGAATAAAAGCGATTCCATGAAGAACAGTTTCGAGCATTGCAAATCTTCGTATTGAAATCACCAATTTCAGTACATAAGACACATTGTCATTTTTTACTACAGCTTCATTAAACTGACAAATTCTCCCGGGTAGATCTCTGGCAACTGTACGAACAAAATCATTGGCATTTACCTCCCCTTTAATTGTGCAACTTGGAAATTATTACCCAAAAAAAAAATGGATTCCACGCGCCCAACGCTCACTACTGAATTGGGATTACCGCGACGAGCAGATTGAATGCCACAGCAAAACGTCCCCAAATCAAGAGCACAGCCGCATAAACAGAATTAACCCCTCCAAATTCCAGATCCAGAGAGAGGGAGGAAACACGCCAGCGTGATTTTACCTCTACTCAACTGAAGCGAACCCAGGTCGTGGTGGCCGCGGCAGCGTTCCTCCGGCGGGGCGGCGACTGGATCTGGGGGCGGGTCCGGCGGCGCCCGGATCTGGGCCGGCGCCGTCCCTGCCGGCTCGGGGAGGGCGGGGGCGGCGGCGGCGGCAGGGGGGGAGGAGGGGAGAGCGGGTCCCGCGGGGGGTGGGGAGAAGGAGGGGGGGTGGAAGGAAACCCTAGTCGCCCATGGCAAGGGCTGGGACGGTCTGGGTGGCAGGAGCAGGAGAAGGAAGCCGGGAGGCCCGCAAAATCGAGAGAAGCGGCCGTGGGGATGACGGGTTCTTTGTTTCTGAGGCTCAGCTGTTCTCTTCTGTTCGGCACAGATCCAGGGCACCAAAGGGGGCGGAGCTTAGCCCTATTTTTCTTTTCTTTTTGTTTCTGTTTTTTTTGTTATTATCGTGACAAAAATATCTTTTGAAAATATCGGCTTTTCTCACCCCCAATATTCATGTTCGAAGGGCCCGTGTCATAGTAAATATTTTGGGGTATAGGTTAAAATTTGGTCAAACTTTCAAGACTTTTATCTCTAGCTAGTTTATAAAATGTAATGAACTTGATACTGTGGTAATAATTGTTAAGGCAAATTATACCTTGTTTTTGTTTTTAAACCTATATTTGAGATATTTTAGGTGCTTCAAGTTTTAAAAGTGTTAACCAATCTTCGTACTTTATGAGAGCTTACTTAGGCTTTGTTTTTAATGTACCCAATGGGCTTATCAATCAGCACGTGGCTAATCAGATTAACTTGATAATTATTACATTATTAATTAAATATTTCATTCGTTTCATATTATAAATGCCTACATTCATTAACATCCATATGAATGTTGAATGTTGGCAATGCCAGAAAGTCTTATAATATGAAACGGAGGAATTATTAAAGAAAATGATTTATTTGAATTTTAACGGAACTTCCGGTCTTTAAAAATCGCACTATTTTGGTGGCATGGAAGCATGTCCGCGATAATTCAGTAGCTACAATATAAAATATAAAAGAGAAATAGTGCATTAGTAAACAACCTAAGAGTTTTTCTGTTGGATTTTATTCCATTTAATCCTTATATAAAACAATTTATTTTAGCATTTATCCGTTTGATATCCATTCATCATTGAGGCATGCGAAGAAGGCAACAACACTAGGCCAGCATTGTATTTTTTAAAGAAGATCATCACTCTGCAACCATAAAACGGTGCATTTATTTTATGACTATATTTGTTTTTTATGTCCCTTATACCACTAATGTTAGTTGACCTACATTCGTTAAATTCCATATAAAGGCATCTAGAAAACAAGGCCAATATAAATCTAATAGCACACGTGTAAATTAAAATAAGAGTAAATTTCACATTAGTCTACATTTTTTCCCTATGTTTTACACTGGGCCAGGGCTGAGTCTAAACTTTCACTTAACACCAGTTATATTTTCCAAACAATTGCACTTTGGGTTAGGGACCACGATGTGAGCCTCATCCACACAAGAGGAGTTTTCTCCTCCCGGCTCCCGCAAGAGCACGTGTGACCTTGCCGCCGCCACTGCTCATGTTGTCAACCATAGCGCGCAAGGGCAAGCGACGTGGCTGAGGGCGAGGTGGAAGGCGATGGGCTTCGGAGGCCATCGACGAGGAGATGCTGGGGGTGGTGAAGTATGTGGTTATTGGAAGGGATGTGAGGAGTGAACACCGCCACCATGTTCCTACTTAGCAGCAAAGATGCGGCGAGGAACATGGGAGCGTTGAAGTTCCATCTGTCATGTATAGCGGGATTGAGCCAATGCACAGCGGGCAAATTGCCAAACGGCAGCAGCACCGCAGTGGGCATTAGGCAAGGCAGTGACGCCGCACCTAGGGTGAATCAACAAGCGGCAGTGGCACAGCAGGTGCTGCGGCTGCGGCTGCGGCTGCGGCTGCGGTACAGGCACATGCGAGTCATTGAGCGAATCGATGGTGCCTGTATGGATTAATTGCTTACTATTCATTCTTTTTACTAATTCCATTACCGGAGAATAATAGGAGCTGCTCTGGCGTCCTCCCTGCTTTGCCGCTTCCCTGTACTCTTAATGATTTAATCTGACTGACATGGTAACCACTAGACCAAAGTAAAAATATTTGGTACAAAACCTGCCCTTTAGTGAAAACAATGCCTTTGTGGTGGTTCAACCTGAAAGTTTGGTAAAGAAATCTATCTCAATGTGAAATTTACTCTTAAAATAACTTGTACTTAGTTACCATACATACCATCAACTAGATAAGAGCAACTAATGTACACATCTACACAAGTACCTTCTAAGGTTGCACAAAATGTTTTTCATAGTTCATTTTATCGAAGAAAATAAATATGGTACAGTTGACTTTTGTATAGGTACAAAATGGATCACAACAGTTAGTTTATGTGGCATGTCGATAGCATGAGCGAGAATAATAGGTAATTTTTTTCAGTTAATTTAATGGTAAACACCCAAATTTAAAGAGTAAACGCCATAGAGCAAGTGAAAATATGTGAGTTTTTTTTTGTTTGATGTACCAGAAATTTGTCTGTCGCCTTACACTGGTGGAGAAACCATCTTTGGTCGATCGGCCGAAATTCACAATAGTCCCGGTTCCACTAAAAACCAGGACTAAAGATGATATTTAGTCCCGGTTGGTGGCTACAATGGGCATATTTGATCTTTAGTCCCGATTGGTAACACCAACCGGGACTAAAGAAGATGATCATCTTTAGTCTCGGTTCTAAACCTGTTAGGCCTTGTCAGGCCCCCCGGGATCTTTACTCCCTGTTGGTGTTACCAACCGGGACTAAAGATCCTAACTTTACTCCTGGTTGGTGTTATAAACCGGGACTAAAGATCAAGAAGATTTTTAGTCCCGGTTCGTATTACCAACCGGCACTAAAATTCAATGCTTAATATATAATCCTTCTTCCCTATCCTCTCCTCCACAACCGCCTCACACTTATCATCTCAAATCGATCTCCCTCTCCTCCTCCCCTTCCTCCTCCCCCTCCGCCTCCTCCCCTTCCTCCTCCCATCCCGGCCCTCTCCTCCCCGTCCTCCCTTCCCATCTCGATCTCCCTCTCCTCCTCACCTCCTCCCTCTCAGATCGATCTTTCTCCTCCTCCCCATCCGCCTCCTCCTCTTCCCCTCCCATCCCCGGCCCTCTCCTCCCCCTCCTCCCTTCCCACGCGGGAGACGCTCGGCTGGGCCGCGCACGGGCCCAGTGGCGAGCGGCGGCAGGCGGCAGCCGCTGCCGGCATCTTTTTTTTTTTACAATTTGTGATTCACTAAGATGTATAATTTTGTGATTTGTTGCATGATCTGAGATGTATAATCTGTGATGTATTTAGTTTGTGTGTAATTTTTTTAAGATTTGTGATGTATTTGATTTGTGTGTATAAGTAATTTAAGATTTGTGATGTGAATATTTTGGGATGTTACTTTGATTTGAGGTTTGATTTGGGGATATGTATCCCACTTGATTTGGGGATATGTATCACACTTGCTTTGGTATATGTATCCCACTTGATTTGGGAGAAAATACAAGGATTAAACTCTAGCTAAAAAACAATGAAAAAAAAGAGACCTAATGGGACTGCCGCTACCCTCTCTTTAGTCCCGGTTGGTGTCCCGGTTGGTGATGGATCTTTAGTCCCGGTTATTTCAATTGGGACTAAATATAGGCATTTTTAGTCCCGGATTCATAGTCCCGGTTGAAAAACCGGGACTAAAAGGGGTTACCAACCGGGAGTATAAATGGTTTCTCCACCAGTGTTAGCAATTCAAATGGTAATGCTACGATGGATTAACCTCAACTCAAAACATTGGAATTCAGCCAGCCCACTGGAAGAGGAAAGCACATTGATGTATTTCTACTGGCAGCTAATGCATGTTACTAATGTGCATACCCTGGGAATCTTGCCAATTTGCCATACTTTATTAAAAGCACATTGGAGCGTGTGGATAACAAAAGTGTAGAGCTGAAGGAGTTGCATGTCCATGCCTCTATATCCACCTAAACACTACAACATCAGGGCAGTCAGGATGGTGTCTATGGCATTAACTACATTGTCATATAGTACTTTTAGCTTATGTGGCACTATATTAATTAAGAGAGAGTGAATAGAGGAAGAAATTGGGTCTCATGCAAGACACAGCTTCAACACGAGAACCTATACACTAGACACTATCAAGTTTTGCATTAGGAGAAAATAATGTCTTCATAATAAATGAAGAATAAATATGATTGGTAGAGAAGAGAGATGATGTATTTATTAATGGTCCACTTTAAGAAACCATGGGTTGTAGAGTGTAGTTTCTATTGTGATGTCTTATTGACATGTCACTATAGACACTGCTTATGGACACTATGGTTAGGACTGCCCTCACTAACCTTTTTTTTTAGGTTAATTTCACCATCCTTAAGATCGGGAGATACCACATTTTTTAGTGTCTTATGGACCATAAAATATCTCTTTTCATATATTATGCCACAAATTAATGGCATGATAATACTCAATACTTTTTTAAGAAAAAAAAACATTACTCAATTCTCATTCAACAATTAACACAAATGGTATGGCCAAAAGTTCCATATCAGAAAATAACTCAACGTGTTTTATTAATAAAATATCATTTGAAAAGAATTAAGTCCTACAAACACATTGATTATGGTGTCCGGCTAAATAGACAACGCTACAACAAAAAGGTATAACATAAAGATATCATGGCAAATAAAACACATTATTGGTCTAATGTTCTGTGTGGCTAGGAATGAAATCGATTCAGATAGTTTGCGTTATCTGGACGCATTTCCGTAAATGGATAGTCTTGGATGGATAATTTTCAGATAGTACCATATATGGAGATGAATACGGATTTTTTTTTCTGGAACATAAACAAATATAGTAAGATTAGTATCGAGCGGAAATCAGATACGGTCAGAAATTATTCAGAGTTTTTCCCGGATATCAGTAGGTAGATATCAATTTTAAGAAAGAAAAACATGTCTATATACTTTACGAAGACAAACTTTATATCAAAATTGTGGAGCTCAATTAGATTTTTTTTTGCGGGGGAAAGCTGAAATATATTACTCTGCTAAAGCCTCATCATGAACAGTTTGGGATATAAGATTACAGCTTTCATCAGGCCAAAAAACAGAACAAGAATTTGTTCGGCCTCTATTTGCCAGGAAATGGCTAACATTATTCTGACTACGCTGGATCTTGCTGACCCTGATGTCTCTGCCACCCATCATCAATTCACGAATATCCCTAACCAAGTAAGCAAGTTGGGACATTTCCTTCTTTGCCGACTGGATCATGTTGTCAGGCAGTCCGATTCTAAAATGATCGGAAGCAGGGTCCATTGCAGGGCCAGGTTGATGCCTTCTTTGCAGGCCAGGAGTTCAGACTCGAGAGGGCTACTGCAATTAGATCTACAATTTTACTGTTGACAAATTTATCATTTGAGATTATTTAGGGCTCTTAATATTCGTTTTACAAAATCTCAAACATATGATTCAAATAATATCATATGGGCATGTGCTCTATAGTTTATGACCTTTGAAAAAAATCCCCTATGAAACCCCTAAAATTTTACCCAATCCCTCCTATATCCTTAAGTTTTGCTCATTCCATCATGTATCAAATTTCGTATCAAAATTTAGCCGGTGAAAATTGAAAATTTGGACATGTTTACCTATTATTTTAGAAAAATAATAAGACCCTGTTTAGATAGGACTAAAACTTTTTAGTCCCTATCACATCGGATGTTTAGACACTAATTATAAATATTAAACGTAGACTATTAATAAAACCCATCCATAATCTTGGACTAATTCGCGAGACGAATCTATTAAGCCTACTTAATTTATGATTAGCCTATATGATCTACAGTAATCATTCTCTAATTATAATTATGGATTAATTAGGCTTAAAAAATTTGTCTCGCGAATTAGCTTTCATTTATGTAATTAGTTTTGTAAGTAGTTTATATTTAATACTCTAAATTAGTGTTTAAATATAAAGACTAAAGTTAAGTCCCTGGATCCAAACAACACCTAAGCCTTGAACATTTCTAAATTTTATATCATCAATTTTCATAGGCGGTTCCAAAACTGTTTGTGAAAATTGATTTTCATAGTTGTGGAACCACCTATGTAAATTGACAATATAAAATTGCTTTGTTGATTCGGCAAGTTCAATTTGAGATGTTTTTATATTCCTGCAAATATTCATTTGTATATTTCGTTTTATTTTATATTCACTATGTATTTGTATTCAATAATATTCGATTTTATTTTTATATTGAGGTTTTTTATTCCGATTTCAAAAAATAACGAATATGGTAAGTTAGTTTCCAATACGTTCTCATCCATGTGAATAGGTCAAACACAACTCCATCCCTACGAATCTGAGGCTGGATATGTGAAGAGGTTATTTCCACACTTGCACAATTGCAGTGAATTGACGCAATCCTGTCCTCTCCTCCGAGGCAAGGACGCAAGGTAGAGGAGTGCATTAACAAAAAAAAAAAGAAACATCTGATGTGGCAAGATATAATCAATTCACCAAACTTTCCTCTTCCGGCGCAACTCAAGATTCACGTTGCACAAGTGCACAGGTACACATCCCACCAACCACTTCAGATGCATGCTTGCACTTGTATCTCATCACACTGGTAGGAAACTAGGATACAATTGTTCTTCTTCTTGATCAAAAGACATACAACTCGTGGTTTCATTGTTTGATTTATGTGGTGTTTGTGCTTTTTTAGGGACACGAAAGGTTCTTCTTGGTATGGTACAGTCGATTATGTAATAATGAATTATCATACATTACAAATCAAATCAACACATATGCTCTCACATACTGAGAATAACCAAAGAAAAAACAACTGCCAGAGGAATCACATTCACATCAATGCTTTAATATTGAATTGAAACCGTAAAATGTTGTGATATACATGGATACTAATTGCTCAAACCAAGGAATTCTGTGAAGCTTGGATACTTCGGTTGCCACCCAATCTCAGCACGAGTTTTGGAATTCTCCATCCTCTTCCCTAAAGGACCATCAGTCCCTGCATTTACAGGCAGATGACGACCATTTAGGATAGGCAAATATTTGCACAATAAATCATAACAGTAGCTGCAGGGACTACCTGTGAAGCCTTGAAACTTCGTATCAAATTTCCCACTTCTATTAACAAGGTCCATTATTTCTTGCCTGCAAAGCCCAACATCATATCAATATACTAGCTACGTATAACAAAATTGTCCTTCGATGAATAGAAGGTCGGCTCGATAAGATGAAGTTTGTAGTTACCTAGATAGAGGCTGATTGTCACAACCAACAAAAACACGAGCACGTAGTCTCCTTTTCATAATGGCAATTGCAAGAGAAGCAGCATCCTACAAATAATAACAATTGAAAAAGCACATACTTACAAATACTTGGAATATGTAGACCGCATGCATGCAGCAATCTTTATTGCCTGCCTATGTAAGAATTATAAAATGGATCTCTAAAATATTTTCTTTGTTAATTCTCCCAGTTTTATTAAATTGGACCGCTCTTAATATTGCTTGATGCTTCAATTTGTATTTACTGTTCAATCAAACTTCAGATTCTCTGTTATTTGTATCATATATTATGGAGAGAGAAATACTGCAACAAGTGGCTTAGTTCTAACCAGGTAGTGAAACCTTATTTTGACTCCACAAAATCTAAATGAATTCTAAACTACTCCCTCTGGTCACAGTGGTCATTTTAAACTTTTCAAGTCAATAAACATAACTTTTACCACTTAATTCTTCTGCATAAATCTAAAATAGTTGCGTAAGTGTAATATTGTAAAAGCTTTGGCTATAACAAACTTTGCTATGTCATTTTTCATATATCAAAAGACCTATATAATGAACAAGTTAGCTTGTGTGGACTGCACAAATTACAAAATGACATTCTTTTGTGACTCATTTATGTTATTATCCAAACATAGATAAGTATCAGGTCTTACTTCATAGTGTATCAGATTGAGTATGTGATCTGGACGTGAATCAAAAGTTCCCTTCGATAACCAAAAAATGTGAGGACCTTTATCACTCTTGTGTGGTATGTCAAGGAGATATAACAGTTATGTCCATTCTATTACAGAAGTGTATGGGGGCACAGGTATATTTAATAATATTTTTGCATTAAGTTTTGAAACAAAGTCGCCTCTTAGTAAGGATATATAAAGTCCTACAAGCCGGAGAACACTTCCTCCTGCCTCAAGGACGGCATTTTCAGCTTTTAGGAGCACATCAGTACGAGGGCTCCTACCAATTGGCACACAAGGAGAATCCTACACAACAGAAAAGGAATACTAAGGTTAAATAAAATCAAGAAAGTTGGATGTGAGACTGTACTGCCACAAAGCAAGAGCTTTTTTGAACCACCAAAAGATTTTCTTAATTTTTTTTTCTGCATATGCTGGTATATTTCTTACAAAATAGAGAAGAATGAAACGGTAGACATAACTTTGATCCTGTTTATTGTGCGGTTTAGGTTAACTATACCTCACTACACAATCCATTGTCACTGCAGTCATACACAGCAGTGCTCGATGTAAACAGGAAAGAGCCTTGTCCATTCCAGTTTGATGCTGCCACTCTGCACATATTTTATGAAATAAGAACGTTCATGTCCTTGATATACTATACTTGCTTAGAGTAAAAAATAGCTACATGAAAATTTTGATGGCAGACACTTGTGTCATTGGTATCGATATTTTCTTTTAGGTATGCAAATAATCTACTTGTTTGTCTATCAGCACTTCAGTATAAAGAGGTATGCTACCATTGACACCAAACAAAGAGTAGCCTGGTTTCTGTATACCCACCCAAGCCTAATCCTCTAAGTGCCGTTCAAACCGTTGCTGTCAGCTCCTTAAAATGTTGGTCCCCCAAGTTAATTTTTTTAATGAAACGGCAGGAGGATTGGCATTTGATTAAATTAGCAAGGAAGTAAAGATTCCAAAATTTCAAAGAAAATGCCAAGGGGCCAAGAAGACAGTTTACAGTTGTTGCCTTTCTAGTAATTATCTAGTCTCTAAACATGATGCTCCAGCTGCGTACCCAAGCTTGCACATTTGACCCTAAGTTATGTCTTCTGAGAAGGATTACACAAATTGAAAATTTCACACTAGTATCATATAAAATACCCAAATGTACACTATCAGTAGATGTGAAATGCGTACACGCATACATTTGAAATAAACAACGTACAAGACATCTCCATGCACTCAACGCCACTCGCCACTAGTTCTGAGTTCTGGCCATGCAAGTAGCATATTATATACTCTCCCGAGTCAAAGCTCTCAACTTACAATATTGAGAAGATGGGGGCCAGCATTTACCTAAGGTTTGGCAATAGGACAAATGGCATTATTTGTTTTAATGGGAATATTTTTATGTGGTTCCCAAGCTTATCAAGAAACTGATGTGTCCACTCCCCAAACAGAACTACAGAAGCAGACATCCGGTTCCAATATTAGCACAAGACCAAATTACAAGTATGTGTCAGCTTTCAAACCGCTCAGCTACTTCTCAACAAATATATGACTGCTATCAGTAAATATTAACATAGCATTCATTGATCTCACTTAGTCTATTCTAGATGGTTGAAAGAAAAATTTCTGAAAATCCCAGAAGTGATGCCCTATAATTCATAGCTGTGTATTTGCATAATTACTAAAAGAACTTTGGTTTTTTTTCTCAGAAGCAACGGAATGCTATGTACGAGGAATCATCGTTTGAGTACTACAGTTTTGTTACCTCAGATCTCCTGGGTAATCATCTGTCCGATAAGGAGGAGCGCAGAAAATAACGTACGGAACTTTCTGAACAGCTGGTCCTTTCAAGGAGGGAATGATCCCAAGTTGAGTCAATTCACTGTGATGATCTGTGGTTGCAGTATGACCAAAAATTTTGCAACCTGGATGCTCCTGTAAAATATGCAAAGCTATCAGACATATTTTTACATCTTTACTAGTAGAAAAGGAAAGCAGAAAATATTATCAGCAATTCAGCATATATACCATCCCTCACATTAGAAACAAAAATAGGAATTCCATTCAGAAACCATCGTTAAGCAAGGAAAAGATAACCATAATCCTACTAGTCGGTGCTTCACTACACCACTGAAGATTATCTTTATGTGTTTCAACCATGTTAATCATCAAGTCGGCAATGTACAATGAAATTCTTGATATTCAGAAACAGCAGAAAAGCAGGGTAAAGGGTACCAATGCTTAAAAAAAAGGGTACAAAAAGCAATAATTAACCTGCTGCCATCTCTCCGCCACAATCCGGCCAAGCACGCCAGGCCCAACAATCAGCAGATCGTACTGGCCAACGCCCTCCGACGCGGACACCGCCATCGCCGATGCCTCCTGAGATGCGCCTGCAATCCCGGAACGAAGAGGAAGCGAACAACCAGCAGTCAGTTTCAATCGGATAGGACCAAACTAAGCAATTAACCATCGCAGTCTTGCCCCCTCCCTCATGGATTCCCTATCCTATACGTCCCTCGCCGATCGAGACCTGCCGGATTGGCAAAAATCGAGGTAGAAGCAGAAAAGAGCAATCCGCAACCAGATATTACTAAACTAAACTAACCCGCTCTCTGTCAAGATTGGGCACGTACGTACCGAGGGGAGAAGCGGCGGCGGCGGCGATGGCGGCGTGACGGGAGGGCGGGGAGATGGAAAGGGTGGGTGAGAATGTGTTGTGCAGGCGACGGCGTGACGGTGGCGGCCGGAGTCCGCGGGAGAGGTGGAGCCGTGCAGCGGCTGCGGGTAGGGCGGAGGAGTGGAAGCGGAAGGAACAGGACATGAGGATAACGTGGTGGGGGGTGCGCCCTGCCTGCGGCATGCAAAGGCAGCGCGTCGCACTCGTACATTGCCGTATGGGAAACTGAAAAGGCACATTTGGCTTGGGATCAACTGGCGGCCAAGTCAAATGATCATCCTGTGGGCTTGCCAGATGCCAATATGCGTGATAAAAAAAATAGTAGTATATATGGCACTGTTTAGTCCCAAAACAAAAATGTTCACGCCCGTCACATTGAATGCTTGGATACATGTATAAAGTATTAAGTGTAGACAGAAAAAAAAACAATTACACAGATTGCGTGTAAATTACGAGACGAATCTTTTAAGCCTAATTACGCCATGATTTGATAATGTGGTGCTATAGTAAACATTTACTAATAACGGATTAATTAGGCTTAATAAATCTGTCTCACAGTTTTCTGACGGAATCTGTAATTTGTTTTGTTATTAGTTTTGTTATTAGACTATGTTTAATACTTCAAATATGTGTCCGTATATCCGATGTGATAACCAAACCCAAAATTTTTCCCCAAGTAAACAAGGTAATAATTGGGCATGTACTCCTATTATACCAGTAGCATCCTATTTTTTGACCGTCCATATGGAAGGGCCCATAGAACTCAAATGGTAAGGATTAAAGTGCAGTCACAACAAGTTAAATACTGCATGCATTTTGAGATGTCCATTTTTTGTGATCAACGGTTCAAATCCACTCCTATACAACAATAACATCATGAGCAATATCCCACGCTACATTTATTTGCTACGGTACAATGAATAGTGTTATATGTTAACTTGGACCATTCGGTTCTTTCAAAAAAAACTTGGACCATTCGATTTGCATCTGATGGTGAGAGCTGCTACCGACTACTGACAGTCACAATAGTGATTGCAAGTAGATGATACAAGATCCAAATTGTAAACACATACTCTAAGTTTGATAGCACTTTTCATTGGATTCCACAGCCGCTGATGGCAACGGGCCCTCTATCTTCCGTGAGATGTAGATAACTATCGATTTGACGAAAACTTATACACACGGTCCGGTTTTCGATCAACACGATCTGAACCCTACAATCGCATCACCCCGTTTTATCTGGTTATCAACCGTGTCGAAACCTGGTTAACCTCGCCGAGAAGGCTAATCCCTGCATACGAATCAAAAAAACACAAGCAAGAACAACGTAGATTACAACTAAAATTACAGATGAATGATTAAGCACTCGAAGTTGGTGTTTCACAAATCGACTAGCGGCGAAAATGCATGACATGGATTAATCTAAGCAAAACCTGACTCTAATATATGATGGCCATTGAATAAATATGATTGCGGACATAATAGGGTTAGCCCTAGGGCGTCCACCCATTGAGCTTAGCCCACGGCACAATTACAAGGCTCAAGGTCCAAATCAGATTCAGATTGCAGGTATCTGGCTTCACTACTAGAAAAATGATTTTTTCATGGCTGTACCCTATTTTTTCTGATGGCGGTTACATGAGATCTCCGCGTGCGAAACTGTAACGAGGGGTGAAGGGTTGGTGAAGGGTTTAGGACCGTCAGTGAAAAATCCATTCTTGCTCACGGTTGCATAGGAAGTCACTTTGCAAAAATAACCCTATTTTTGCCGGCGGACCTCTTAAGCGACCGCTAGTGTAAAGAAGAATCTACCATATTAAAAGCCACCGCCCATTGATGACTCTCGAAGTCTCCAGTCCCCACCTCACTTCTTCTCCCCCGCCTTCTCTCACGCTCTCTCTTCTTCTCCCTTAATCACTACCCTTCTCTCTGGCCCTCTCTCCGGCGCCACTGTCATCGCCTCCCTCCACGACCAAGCTGTCATCGTTGAGGGCAACACTGCCGCATCGGCCGACGGCGAGGCCGAGCCACCGGCTGAATCTAGTGACCCCGGGCTCTCCGCTGGTCGATCTGACTGGCCAGAGATGGCATGCGGCTCGAAGAAGAGGTGGAGCGGGAAGACGACCGGCGGCAGGACTCAAGACCTTTAGATCAAACAGCGGCGGTGCTCGGGACCGCTAGATCTAGGGTGCTCCTCCTCCGTCCGCCGTCGTCTCTCCTCCTCCGGCCGGATCTGGGAGGGAGGAAGGGAGGGGAGGAGAGCGTTGCTGGCTGCTGTGCTGTCCTCCGTGCCGCCGGCTACTGTGTTGTCTTCCATGCCGCCAGGTCTCCTCCTGGTCGCCACGCGCCTCCGCGCCGTCGGTTGTTGTGGCCATTGCCTCCACCTTCCATGTCGCTGGCTGGATCTAAGAGGAGGGGTGAGGAAGTAAAGGGGGAGGGAAGGGGGAGGGATGAAGGTGAGGGAGTGAAGGGAGAGGTGGGGGGATGGGTGGAGGGGGTGAGGACTTAGGTTGTGTTCGCTCCAGCTTGTTCCCATTAGGAATAGTGCGTACGGAAAACGAAACAGTCCATTAGCGCGTGATTAATTAAGTATTAGCTTTTTTTTTCAAAAATGGATCAATATGAGTTTTTTAAGCAACTTTCGTATAGAAACTTTTTGCATAAAACGCACCGTTTAGCAATTTGAAAAGTATGCGCGCGAAAAACGAGGGAGATGAGTTGGGAAACCTGTGGTAAGAACACAACCTGTGAGTGAAGGAAGTGGGTAGCGCGTGGGTGCCGGATTTTTGCAAGCGGTGGACTTGAGGTCCTGCATTTCTTGAGCTATTTTTACAAACGGTGATTTTGTAATCCACCTGGAAAAATAAAATCGTAACGTTGCGAAAAAAATATTTTTCTAGTAGTGAAAGCAAATATAACATGTTCACCACACTAACTGATCTTCTTCCACCATAGGAGTTCCTTATGGTTAATAAATATATTCCTATTATATTTAGCCATACTGTAACACAGGAACTCATATTTCTGGAAAATTTTTTGAAATTATACTGTTTATGGATTGATTGTGCAAAAATATACTCTATAGCGAACGATTTGTGGAAATAAACCATTGGTATCGCTTTTTGGAATAGCGATACCGATGTTCGCTCTTTGAAAGTGCGAGAGCGAAGCGAAATCGCGATCGGAAAAAGCGATAGCGAAGTTAAGCTGGCGCTCTCGCACAAGCGAGCCGCGAGACCATAGCGGTATCGCCTTTTCCAGGGGCGAGAGCGCCACGTGGAGAAATCCCCACGACTACCTCGGGCGGAGCCATCGTTCTCGCACTTTGGTTACGCGAGACCGAGGCCGGTTTCGTTATATGTAACCGCGAGACCGATTATGACGCGACAGGGAAGACGTGGGCACGCGGTATCGCGCTTTGCGCGCGCGAGAGTGCTGACGCGGCATGCGCGAGGGAGAGAAATCCTGGGGAAGGGCAGTGGGCCCGCGGCGTCGCGCTTTGGGAGCGCGAGACCGAAAGCGGTATCGCTATACGCGAGCGCGAGAGCGAGGAGCGAGGTGGGGCAGCGCTGTCGCGCTTTGAGGGCGCGAGACCGAAAGCGGCTTCGCCTTCCGCGTGCGCGAGAGCGAGGAGCGAGGTGGGGCAGCGCTGTCGCGCTTTTAGGGCGCGAGACCGAAAGCGGTGTCGCGCTTTGCGCGCGCCGGTCGCGGCAGCAGGCGCGGTATCACGGTACGCATGCGCGAGACCGCCTCGGTATCGCGCTCCGCATGCGCGAGAGCGTCGCCGCTTTTCTCCACCAACGCCTTTCTTTCCCATCCCTATTTGATTTTTGCTTTTTGCACGGGTTAGCTTTAGGGAGAGGTGGAAGAGCTCTGTGCATTGTCTTATCGATTTACTGTTGTAGTCACATCATGCCGGCCATTTGTAACCGCTAGCGTTGGAATCCAATGCCCTCACGGGCTTAAATTGAGAGGAGAGGAGATGGTCCTCACACAGCAAAGACAGAAGGGAGTGAACTGAGGAGAGGAAGAGCAAGAGGAGAGGAGGCAGTGCATGCAGTGGAGAGAAGGAAAATAAAACACGTAAGTTGATTAGTTTTCTATTAGCATAAATTCGTACGACGAGGATTTCTAAATTGTTAGTTCACGTAGTTAATATTTATTTGTAGTTATGTCAGAGAAAAACTAATGTCTGTATTAGGTATAACTACATTATATTTTGTTAGGTCGTATGTGAAAATAGAAATGTAGAAAGTTAATAGAGTCTATTCAGGTTAAATGTATAATATAAGTTAGAATTAATTTGTACGTAGTAGTAATTATAAGTTATAATTAATTAGTAGTTCATGTGATGTTTAATTTTATATATACGAGCAATATTATATGTAAGAAATGAAAAAAACTAAAATATTAATAGTTGTATTCGTAGTTATTGATATTGATATTAATAGTATTGATAATTATTAAATGTGGTACAAAAATTAAAGTTGTAATTAATTTGTAGTAATTTTAAGTTACAATTACTTACTATTTCATGCATTTATTTATTTTGTAAGAAATGGAAAAGGTATAAATATTCGTTAAGTAGCTGTGCATATATATGGTGTGCTTAAACACGTGCTTTACATTGTAGGTTGTTACGAACGAACAAATAAATGCAATAATTACGAAGAACTTCGAAATTGGGATTTTTATAAGAGCACATTGGTTCAAAAGAAGAAGGCAAGACAACAAGGTATGGTAATATAATGGAAGACAGTTCGTAATTAATAGACAGTTTGTAATTTATTTGGTATTGTAATTAAAGTGCAGTTAAATAAATTTATGTCGCTGCAAAAAGTTTTGTACTAACAGATAGTTACAAATATTTTGTATTTAAGTAAAGTTGTCCGTTAGATAATTTATAGTTAAAGTAGTAATATAATAAATGTACTCATCCAAATTTGCAGTAGTAGTATTGTTTCGGATGTCATATCCAAGTAGGTACAAACCGTCCGTAGCAAAGAACATGATGCGGCTCAATGAGTGTCATTGTCCTAGATAAAGAACAGAAAGAGCTAACAAAAATGATTTTTAACTTAGCTTCCGTCAATGTTTCTTCGGTGCAAGTAGTCATTTGTTGTATTAAAATTAATTGATATGTATAATTAATTTGTTAGTTAAACATATGGATTATGCAGTGAACTAAACTTTGAGGCAGCAATTGTTATACGA